TACTCACATTTCTGAATCTAATCCTGATAACAGAACAGTGTTGAAAATTATGTATAGAGAACCCGAAGCTACAGTAAATAGTAATAACTTTACTTAAAACTGAAAGGGAAGCAAGCTTTTTTTCATGAATTTATTTTCTGTCTTTAATTAATCCAGAACAACAATAAAACACAAACTAAACTAAGAAAAAAAGAAATGCATTCATCAATGACTTAAACTTATTCAGTAATTGCAACTGCATGAAAATTCAGTATAAAAAGAAATGAACACAAATATGAAACAAAACTTACCTGTGTTTTATCGCATAAAATTTCCTTTTTTTTAATAGCATGCTATCTTTGAGTTAAATATTATATATTAAGACAAATTTATAAAACTAAATTCAAAAGTGGTGAATTAAATTACTGTAAGGGGAAAAACTAAAAACAAGAAATAAAAAAAAATTAATTTTTTTAAATAAATGAAAGTTACATGCTTTATTTTTTTGCATAAGATTTTTCAAGAACAGTCAGTGTACATAATTTTTAGGACAGATTTCTTAGAAATTAATCATGTTAATATTGCCTTTCTTTTTCCATTAAGCTATGTCCTGCTACTCTTTTTCTTTTTAATTGCAGTATGTTTTAAGATAAATAATGAAACATTTGAGTAAAAAATGATATAATTTATAAAAAAGTGGAAAACACAAACAGTGAGAAATACGATAAGTGCCAAACAGGAAGTTTTCAGTTTATTGATCTGGTATTCTATATCATAAACAGGATCAAATGCTGAAAATGAATCATTCGGCATGTTCACAAAGTCTAATTCCTGGAATCGTGCTGTTCATGCAGTTTTACATAGGTGAAGAAAGCATGACTATTAAATACTAAAAATATAAAATTTTCACTTACTTTCTTCAAATAATACTGTAATATCAGATTCGATACGGCAACATTAATGCATTCACTGAAAAACTCGCGCCATGCTGACTCACAAATTATTTGCGCAAATGTCCTGCCACATACCCAGAAGTAGAACAGATGTTTCTGCTTTGTCATTAGTCAGTAAAAGAGATTTACTTTGCTTTTTTTTTTTTTCAATAATTAAACATATTCAGAAAGCTTCTAATTTAATATATGAAATAAATTTATTTTCGTAATGTATCAATTTCTATTCAGAGCACCTCGGAAATAAAGTAATAAATTGATTTTTTCTATGAAAAATAGAAATATCTCTGTATGCACATGCTCTGTATATAAACACAAAAATGGGTATTTTGATAAGTTAGCATAAAATTAACCACTTAAATTTTACATTCATTTAACGGGAACATTATATTTATTCTGAAGATCTCCAGATTAAGAATGTCCTTAATTGTTTCAGGAAAAATATAATGTAATTATTTATTTACATTTTCTCATATAAAAAAATTATTGAAATCACTATATTATTTTTCCTGTGTATTAAATACTATTGAAAAATGTTACCCTCGTGTGATTTTTATAATAATGATTAAAACAATTAAAATTTATGTAAAATATCAGGATTAAGCTAACAGATTTGTGGAATTATTATTATTATTAAAATGTAAAAATAAATTATATATGACAATAAAACTCTATTAAAAAAGCTTTTTTTCTGGGTTCTTCCTTTTTTTTTTTTTTTTTCCCCCGAAGGAAAAAAAAAGCAAGTGTTTAAGATTTTTTAAAAAAATCAACAGATACTCTGAATCATAAATTTTTTTCAAAGGTTTTTTAGAAATCATGTAATATTTGTAAAAGCAACGATTGAAAAATACCGTGATATTGGTAGTTTTTATCAGTACATTTTGTTTCATGTAATTTTCATAAAAATAGCATGCGTAAAATACGATAAATCATCGATAATATCTACAGGTTTTTTTATTTGTATTACTTTCATAAAAATGACGTGTTGCCGCAAAAAAATACCCTTATTTCACCCAAACTTTGTGTCTATTTTTGGAAGCATATTGCTTTGGTAATTATATTTCAAGATTGGCAGACACTATGCAGACTTAAGTCTTCTGCTAACTACAACTACGAGAACTAACTTTAGATGAAAATGATGTATTTTTAATGTATTTTGAATTGTTTGATTAGAAATACATTATTTGAAATTATTAGTCCAAAGGGGCTTTGTCTCTGAAGGACTATTGTTTTCATTTTGCGATTTTGTGTTGAATCACTGTAAACTGCAAATCACTTTTCAACCTGTTGCCACCAAATGTTAGTTCTGCATTATATTTGAAGAAATTAAATAATGAAAAACCTGCATAAAAGTATGTATATTTCTTGCATTGTGATAAAACAACGGTACATAGAGCCATTGAATTTTGAATGGCGTAATTCTCCTATGAATATGGGCATGTGTAACACCAAATTTGAAACTTGGAATTTGTTTTATTATCGGTTTAATATTTTGTAAAACTTTAACGAATTTTTGAGTAACAAACTCAACGATTTAAAAGCGAGCAATGGCAGCACTCTACGGGAAAAAAACACCTTTATCTCCTGCGCGGGGAACTGTGTATTGGAAATTCTAAAGATATGCTCGTTTTAAAATTATTTTGTGACATTGCTATTGAACTGAATTTCATGGTTTAAGTGCAAAGAACATGATGTTTAATAAATAAAGGTAACACACAAAACATTAAAAAAATACCACTTTGGTCATAATTTAAAATCTGAAAACTTTCTTTTTTTTTTTTATTTTTTTATTTTGGTTTATTATATTTGTGGCTCTTAGTATTATGTCCATAGCATGTATTTTGCTTTAAATGCAGTTGTAAAAGAGTTTTTTTAAGGTAGGGTTAGGTAAGTACATATTCCGTATTTATTATTAAGTTGTAATAAATATTGTAGAGCTTTTTTTTTTAGTTCACTTTACCTATGCCACTAGGTGGAACACAACACCTTGAAAAATTAGAAGTAGCCCTTACCTTGGAAAAGTCTACCCATGCCTACTTTAGAGCGTTGCATAAAAATTGAGCAACACTGTTTATCTATTTCAGGTTATTTTCCTTTTTTGGTCCAGTGAAAGACTGTTGAAGATTTACAAGCAAAATTCATTTGGTCTTTACGTCATCGACGTATATTTGTTTCATTTGTATCTGCTCTGTTTCTGTTGTTTTCTGCATATGAAATCGTCTTCCATTTCATACTTGTCATAGTGAACTTGTCTTGATGCCATCCGATATCTTTGATATTTAGGTGATTTAAAAAAGCATATACAAAAAAGTTCGTGAATACACGTGGATGACAAAGTTCAGGAGAGACTGAATACCGAAGATAAACTTTGGAATGTCATGAGTCATTGATTTAGGTGACCAGAATGGACAGTTAAATTTTTCCATTTGAAAGGCATGGAAACTGAATTCCCCCCCCAATCCAACAAATTAGATTCTAAGCTGCACTTGGTTTTAGTTAGCATTGACACTGGAAAAAAAGTGCGACTTAGATTCGAATAAATGCCATATGTCGAACTCTAAAAGTTAGGCACTTTGATTTTTATGTGGATGAGGATGGTGAATCTGCTGCTTTGTAGCCTCGGAATAAATACTGTATGGTGCGTGAACTTCTGCTATTTACTGCACTGCTATAAGTTTTTTTGTTAATTTATGAGTTTCTACTAGTTGCCATAACTGCTGCTATTCCAATTTTATCGTTGTGACTTATTTCACTTGTTTAACTGTAGCAGTACATCATATCCATGAAGTTTATCATGCCTAATAGACAAGGTTTGCATCTATTGTCAGCTTAGGCCTTGGACATCTTACAGGTGACTAGGAATTAGCCCAGTTTTGAGAAAAAATGCCCCAAAGAACAGAACCAAGGTTCTCTACCTCTCTTCTCCTTCTGATAGAACTTCTTACTCAACTGTATCTTAAATACACAGACACACAATTCATTAACAAATATTTGTGCCTTCGGTAAGATTTGAACTCAAGTGCAAAGTTATAGTGGCCTGTTCCCCTCTTACAGACATCATAATGCTGTACCTGTTTTAAACAATTATATAACCTGTGTTCGTAAACACTTTAGCAGAAATTTTCCAGCTGTTTTCTAGACTTTTTTAATTGTTTTAAGTAATGACTGCGTGCTTGGTTATAAAATAGACAGTTACACTTTTTAAATTGCAAAATTCTTCATGAATGCACATTTTTATGAATGAATAAAATTGTCATATATTAGGTATTTATAACATTTTTAAACCTTTGTACTCAAGGCCTTATTCGCTTGGGCAAACCAGCAACTCGAGATGTTTTTCCGTGTATTGTGAATTTCTTACAGTTAATTTAAAATGATTTCTCAGAAATCTAATGGTTCTTTTATACCTGAAGATACTTGCTATCCTGTGGCTCTTTCACCAAGTACAAGCTGTATTCTTTGTGGTATTTCTTCGGATTCTGTATGGGTTATCCATTCTGAATTTGTCTCTTCTGTGGAATTTATGTTGCTTTCACATTCGCTATTACTCTGATTTTTCTCTTACTTACACTTTATCACTCTCCTCATCACTGCTTTCCTTGTCTCTCTCATTAAGTAGTCTATGCATACATGCAGTTTCATTCTTTATCATCAAAACATCAAACTCATCATCATCACTCATCCCTTCATCCTATTCCATCCATGCATGTTGGGCTCCGTAACTCTGAAAATAATATTCCTGTTGCCAACAACTATCGAGTTCAAATTAACGTTGAAGATGCATATATATCAATAAATCTAAAAAATGTAGTAAAGATTGAAGATTGGCAGTTTTCTTATATGCATGTATTGTTGAATTCACTCATGAAGCAATATTGCTTGAACCAAATCTAAGTAAACATCATTACTGCTTGAATTATCATGTCAAATCATGTGATGATTGAGAGTCACCTCTCAAGTGCAGAGAGTTGAGTGATATTTTAGTTTGTTACTAATGTGTATTTTTTATTTTTACCCCCTGAGAGCATGAAAAACTAATTCTATATGTAATGTACTCCATATATTCTTTAGAGGACTTTGGTTCGATACTATGTATGGAAATCTTCTAAAAGTGGATGCATATGGAAACATTTTAGTCTGCTATCATGGATTCAGATTTTTGAAAACGTAAGAATATTTCTTATTCTCTCCCCCCTGAAGATATATTTATTATTTGGATATGTTGGTATAAAATTACTTTCTTGCTTTTATTTCCTTTTTTGCTGAGGATAATGAAAGTTTTTAATTTTTGGTTTTATGTAAAATGTTCATTTTTTATATAGATGTGTATATGTATATATATGTGTGTGTAATTTTTATATATATGTGTGTGTGCATGTGCAGTTTCAAGCAATAAAACTCCTTTCATCCAGCCTACTCTTGTCAAGATTGTTTGATATTCTTTTCAGACATATAAAAGTAGTCTTTATTTGTGTTTTCTTTTATTATTGATTTAGGATTTAAATATGTAAAAGGTTTGCACACTATGTATTCTTTAATGAGGTGTTAATTAATTCAGATATAGTCTTGAATTATTCACCAAATATATAAAGAACATTAGCGAAAAAACAATTGTGGGCTTTAAATGTATGCTAAACACAATGGCATTATGTTGATTCTTTCCCTGTACAGGGACATTTTGCTTTATTATGTGCAGTGTACTGCATTTACATTACATTAGTCTTTTTTGATTTTTGTTCTATTTTTTTATGCAAGATGTTTTTTAATCTCAGAGATAAAGTGTCATGGCTGCAACAAAATATATAGCTTTTGTTTTCCTTAAAGCATAAATTTATTGTAAACTGTAAATCCCAAAATTTAGTCTTATGTAATAATTTAACATTTTCTATGCATATAAAATTAATGTATTAGTTTCATTTCAATGGAAACGTTTCATGTTTTATTCATATACTTTTTAGCACAATAAAATAAAATTTTATTCTTAATTTTAAGACCATAAAGAATTAACTTCAATATTTTATTTGAGTTGAAGTAGATGTGGGCTGTGTTTTTAAAGAAACAAAAAATAACTAATCTTAAAATTATTCCCCCCTTTTTCTTGAAGATTTTGTTATAACTGTATAATCTGTGTTGAAATAAATCATCGTAAATGGGAAAATAAGATTTTCTGACATGCGTTGAAGTAAATAGTAATTTGGCATACAGGGAAAAGGCAGCCAAAATTTGGAAAAATGGGATATAATCAAGTCCAATTATTTTTTAATCCTGCTCTATATTGCTTGTATATATTTATACAATTTTAAGTTAAATATAATTTACTATTTGTGCACATCATACTGATTATTTGGTAAAGCTGTTGATATTCTTGTCCAGAAACTCTTTGCACTTTTAACTATGAAATAAGCTTTTCATTGGAGAATGTTGGCACCAATTAAAAGTGAAATGTGATATGGCTCCAATGAGAGTTCTTATGCCATTGTAATATAAATCAGATTATTAAAACATGTATTCTTTATTCAAGGATATGTCAACAGTTTGAATTTTTAAAATTTTTGTTAATTTCTTAAATTTTAAATAATCGAATAGATAATTCTGTTTTTATTTCATGGCATACAATTTTAAAATGTATGCGTTCATAGATTTAAAAAAAGTTGTGCATTGAAATATTTTTCTGCAAAACATGAAGCAGGAGTTATTTATTGCTATTTGATTATGAATATCATTTCTTTTTTTAAATCATTTAATAATTACCTTTTGAAATCTTACTTAATGTCACATATGATTAAAACATAAATTAATTGCATAAAAAACTGTGTTTAATTTTGTCATTATTTGTATTTTATGCATTATACCTTTGTCAGTTACAGTGTAGTAGTCTGCTAAATATTGAAAGTATTTTCACAGACTACCATCATACCACTACCATTCAAATTTAGATTTAAAATACCTTCAGTAATATCTCATGACATTAATCACATACAGAGGTCATTCGAAAAGTAATGGACCTATTTTTACATGTAGTGAAACTTAATCCACTAAACACAGTTACTTTGTTTTAAAGTATTCCCCCCCCCTTGATCTAAAAAAAAAACCAGTCTCACCTTTTTTGTCTACTTCCAAGTGTATCTTAAGTCCTTTTTTGATATTATGTTTGAGATATCCTTTACAGTATAGTATTTAGTAATTTATGAAAATAAAATGGCTTAAGTCATATGATTTTAGGTTTGAAAAATACTTATAGTGTGCTTTATTATTATTAGTGAAAGTTGTTTGTTTCAAATATAGCAAAATTAAGTTGCATAAGACTGTTATATTGCTTAAAACTTTGATAATGTACTTGGTTAGCAAAGCACAAAAGGTACGATACTTTACAGCTTCTTTTCTATATCCTAAATAGTATTGCATGTAGCTTGTTATGAAATCAGTGAGCAGCTCATCATATTGACAGTTTTCTCAATGACCATTGGGTGGTTTTTACATTAGATTCCTTAATTAACTTCATTATTTTATTTGAGTTGAAGTAGATGTGGGCTGTGTTTTTAAAGAAACAAAAAATAACTAATCTTATCTTAAAATTATTCCCTCCTTTTTCTTGAAGATTTTGTAATAACTGTATAATCTGTGTTGAAATAAATCACCATAAATGGGAAAATAAGATTTTCTGACATGCGTTGAAGTAAATACTAATTTCGCATACAGGGAAAAGGCAGCCAAGTTTTTTTTAACACACAAATGGGATATAATCAAGTCCAGTTATTTTTTAATCCTGTTCTATATTTACATTAAGCTTATAGTTATTAAGACATTAAGCTTTATAGTCAATATTGATTGCATGACAGAATGTAAAGCTATAATAATTTAGGGGAGCTTACCACTCCATTCGCCCTTCAGCTCTATTTAATAAACAAATTGGCAGAAATGGTACATGCATGTTTTGTTCATGTGTCAAACTGTAATCATTTCATGAATCTCTGCTGTGGTTTTATTCATCTGTGTGCAATAGTTTATTAACTCCCCGTTCTTCCTTTAAATCACTTTTGATTTAGAAAAACATATGAGCTGTATACTGTCTGCAACAAAAATGAACCTGTGGTGTGTTGGGAAAGCATTCCATTTGGGAACTGAAACCAGAGTTAATCTGGTAGAAACAGCCGCACTGTTTCAAGTGGTTCTGTTTTTATGTCCTTTTGGTTACATTTTGAATACCCTGTTTGGTGTGGTTTTAATATACTATATTCTTTTTTAATTATGAGACAATCTTAAAGCATTCATAAAAATAACATTGCTAATTCTAGCAATGTCATTTCTATGAAATTAGCAACTGTAACTTTCAAAATATTTATATGAAATCAGGTAGTTTTTCTATGTCCTTAATCTTGTATGTTATCAGCTCCATTTTTCTCTACGTAAATGAACATTTTGTCTTTAAATTCATATTAAATTGTAAATAAATAATAAAGAGCTAAATTTGTCATTTTCATATTGTTTGGTTAGTTGATTTATTTAATTGCACCAAAGTATTTAAGGGCTATATCTGCATAAGTGGAAGCATGCTATCATGAAGGACTTTTTAAGGAAAATTGTCTTGTATGCATGCATTTTTGTATTGTATTGTGTATGTCAGTTTATACTTCAAAAGATTAATGATGCTAAGTATGCATCATTAATCTTTAATGCATTTGATTGATTAATTAATTTCATTAATGCATTTGATGCTAAGAATAGCTGTTACTATTATATGACAAAATCTCCTTTATTTATTCGTAATAGATTAATTTTGTTTCCTTTTCAGGTCTGAAATTTATAATTTGTATCCTAATAAATTCATTCAGCACCATGAATCTCGCATATATATACTGAACACTCTTTTCAATTTGCCAGGTAAGGCAGATGTTAAATAGTTTGATGTGTTATTTTTCTCTGATGATTTGAGTTTTTAGTTCTCTCTCTCTCTTTTTTTTTTTTTTTTTTTTTTTTTTAGAAGCTTATCTATTAGCTTGCTTGATTGACTACTTCACAAATTCGACAGAGTACATTCCGTAAGTGTTTTTTTAACTTTAGTATTTTTGTCAGTAAAGAGTGCTCTGCAGTGTATCGCTTTTTGCCATTCATAAATATAAAAATTTTATAACACTGCTTTAAAATCATTAGAAGATATAGCTGGGAAATAAGTGCACATATTCTGCATTTCAATTAATGTATTTTCTTTGCTATTTTAATTTGTATTTTTGAAAATTAATTATCGGAGTACAGGAGTAGGGTATACATTTTTTAATTTTTGATTTAGATAACAGGGTTCATACAGTCTTTAAAAATACTTAAAAGTTCTAAAGTTTTTTTAAATGATTTTTTATCTGTAAAAGTCCTTAATTTTGGCTAAAACCAGCAAAAGGTCCTTAATTTTACTCATCTGCCATTTCCTTACTTTTTTTTAATGACTGCCATTTTGAGTGTGAATTAACATTTTGGAAGAATATTTTTTGGTTATGCATTGACAAATATGTATTTGGTTAACATTTGAATTCTTTTGAAATTATACGGCAATTTCAAGATCAGTTTGTATGTGAAATTTTGAAAAATTTTCTTACAAACATAATAATGTCGGTAATTATGAAAGTAATGATAATGTATTATAATTATATGTAAGAAAGAACACTAAAATAAAACCTTCTGCCATATTTTAAAGTAATATTACGCTCCATTTTTGCAACTTAGAAATATTTTGATTCTGAAAAATAAGATAATAAATGCTATAAAGTACAGTTTCTGAAACACTTCTTAAAAAAAAATTGCCACTGCAACTATTTAAAAATTTATTTCATCTTTTATAGTTTTTCATAAGAGTTTTTTTCCCCATGTAATTGTTTAAGAATAAATAATGCTTATCAGTTTTCTCTTGAAAACTCAGTGTACACTTCTCTTTTCCCAATTTTTTTTTTTTTTTTTTTTTTTTTTTTTTTTCAAAATTCTTCTGCCTTTTCCTTGTTTCAGATTTGGCAGGAATAATTTTTTGTTTCTATTTTAGACCTTGCACCTCAGAAGGTCTAAAGGCAAGATTTATAGACTTACAATTTCCAGAAAAATGTGATGAAATTAAAAGTTCCAGAAAAATGTGATGAAATAAATAATGGACATGTTTTATAGGAAATTCTTATAAATTTCTCATCTTTTGGAGAATTTTTGGAAGAACAGTGAAAACAAAATTGTTTGAATAGTCTCCTTTTGATCCCAGTTTAAGTCTTTAGTTTAACATGGTTATCTTCCTGTTATTTTCTTATCTTTCAACTAGACACAAGCATTGAAGCGGTCAACAAAAGCAAAGAAATTGAACACAGGCACTTGATTATTCATTATATATGTCAGTGCACCATACATACTCCACAGTGTCTGCCTTAAACTGTAAAAATTTTGCTATCTCTAATTTTTTTTTTTGCTCGGTGCTTCACTAAATTCTAAAAATTCTGCCACACTGGCTGTGGTGACCGTGTATTATTTCATACTTATTCTGTATACTCATATTATTAAAGAAGTAAAGTTAGCAGTTTCTTCTGTACATTCCAAGTAAAAGCAGTTCTTTAAGGCAACATAAATCTTTGATTAAATACGAAAATTATAAAATAAGCGAAAACTCGCTGAAGAAGCAGTTGGTTTTATAAAGAGAGAAAATTATTCTTCAAAGGTACATCATTGAAACATTACGAAATTAGGAGATGAAGCAGAGACTAGTTGGAAAATTGATTTGTTTATTAAAATACTTAGAAACTTAGAAAAAAACTTAGAGAAACTTAAAACTTAGAAAGATGGTAAAGAGAAGGAAACTGATATAAAGTAGCTAAAATATCTAGAAAATTTTAAAACTAAAAAGACAAATAAACATTTTCTTGTTTGTTATTGCTACAAAACATTTGTTTTGTAGTTTTTAAGGTATAATTATACTAATATCATTTTAGAATCAATGCCATGAATTATAATCACTCTCAACTCAAAATGCTCTAAGTGTTTTTAATGGTTATTTTTAAAAAAAGTTTAAAAAAAAGTTAATGTATCCATGTAAATCTGTTATGATAATCTTATATCTAAGAATTATTATAATCTTATATACTTAGATATCTGTTATCCTATATCTAAGTATGTAATTTAATTCTTTGTGAGTAACTTCTCACCCTTGGAAGCTGTCTGAACATGTTAAGGTGAGGTATTGCTCTTCCTTAATCCTTATTTTGGATGCAAAATAAAACACAAAAATGTAAAAATTGACATAAACCTGAATTCTTTATGGCTAATGAGACTTAATAGTACAAAGCAACCTATCTCTTCTACTTCAGTGGCTTATTGGAACTTTATCTTAAATACCATGCTGTTAACCTGGCTGTTAAGTCCATGCTGTTAACCTGGCTGTTAACTCCAGAAGATCTACACGAAATTACAACACTAACTATGTTAAATAAAGTGTAGCTAACTTTCAACGATACCAACATCAGTCGTTCGCATCTGCTCTAATCACTGACTATCTGTCTCTAAGCAAGCAGCTGCAGTGACAATAGCAAGGCTTCTGTTATGAGTCATGCTGAGTATTATTTTACTTCACAGTTTAACTTATGCCATTTGACATGAAATTTGCATATATCTGGACTGAGCAACTATGTGACAAAATGAGGCATAAAAGAAAGAATCAGTAACCATTAGTAAAATTTGAATGAAAAGCCAGTAATCTTTAAAATATGTGGGACTATTATAAGTGTAAAATATGAATGTTTCAAAAACGTTTATGATTTAATGCTAATTAAAAAAATTGTAAAATTTTATTCTTGAATTTGTTTTGTAATTAATATAATCATTAGATATTATATTATAGATAAAAATTATGTATTATTGTGTAAAATGTATAATAATAATGCATCCTACTTACAGATTTATTTTATTCTTAAAAATTAAGTGAAGTTTGAGGATAGATGATTGCTTTCGTGTGTTCAGTTCCTGTTTACTTGATAGGACCTTAATTTTTTTCATTGATGGTCCTTAAAAGGCCTTAATTTCCACACACATAAGTGTGTACGAACCCTGTTATAATTATAACACTGTTTATCTTTCTCATTACCAAAGTTTGTTTAAAACAAAGTAACAGTAAACTTTCATCTAATTAACCTCTACTTAAAATTTAATTTGTAAATAAACATAACCTTGGCTGACTTTCTGTCAAAATTCTGATTCATGTAGAAGGGGTTTTAATTGCATAGTTTCGTAGATGACTGGTCACATGAAAGTTTGCTTTTGGGCAGGGAGGGAATTTAGTGAACGAAAGTCCCCAGAGAATCCTGTCGTCACCTATCTTTCATGTCGTTGCTTGAGATTCACAAATTAATCTTAAGATTTGTATTTGTTTATAGCTCAAGGAACAAAATTTTCATGAATATTATATGGATTATATGCATATATCATTGCTTGCTTTCAAAAATAGGATCACTGAAATGCATGGAACTGTGGTCATTGGCAGAAGTATTTTTTGTCAGTAATAATTATTTATTTTGGAATAATTGATTACAATAATTTAATACAAATTATGCAATATCATTATTAAGAATTTTTAATGATTTTATAATAATATAAGTAATTATAATAATAATTATTTCATATCATACTATGATAGTTATTTATATTTTGGAAGTAGATATCAAATCTTTATACACCACCTGGCCACTTGGCTTAAGAAAGTACCTCTGCCCTCCTTATTATTTTTTTTAAAGACTCACCATCACACCCTTGTTTGGTCAAGAGTTTGCATTTGGTGATTTGGGAGGGATTGAATCAGCTCTTCATCCAATTGGGAAGTTTAAACAATTTAACCGACATCCTGAATTTAGGGATGGGATCTTTTGCTGATACTGTATATTTGGTGTCAGTTTGGGATCTTATATACTTATTTATTATTTACCTTTCACAAAAATTACCATTTAAAATCTTTGTCTTAAATGATCAAATGCAGAAGAGCAATGGGCAACATTGCCTAAGCTCTTTTCCTTCTGTTCATAAGAAGGAAGCACCATTATTGTTATGTTATGCTATGATAGTTATTTATTGTTGTTTACTATAAAATACAGATATATGTATTTGGAAAATGCTTGTATTTCTGCCGATACATAAATAAATAAATCCACAAACACAATCAAACAATAAATTATAAATGATGATCCATATATAATAAACATATCAGATTATTAAAAAATATTGTCAGTGTCCTAAACCCTGTGATGTTTGAAAGCTGTGCAAAATAAATAGAGAAAATTAAGACTTGAAAAGCCCTATTGCATATCCATTCATCCTGTTTCATAAATAAATCAGTTTAAATCCTGCATGCATGTTTACACTGATGGTTATTTAAGGCCTGTTACCATAACAAAGTTGCTGTCTCTCTATTTAGGCAGGAGACTCCCAATTTCTGATCATGTTCTCGGCAATCCATTTTACAGCAATTTCTTCTCCGTTTTGTCCTGTTCTTAAAATTTTTCACAATTTTTGTGTAGCTTGGCTTAATATATACTTTGTTATTTGCTCTCAAAAAGTGATTTTTTGGCATCTGAATGTACATGGTTTTTCTCTTGATTACATATAAAAGAAAACCACAGTCATTTCATCAGTGAGTCATTGTGGCGTGCTTCTGCTTTGTGTGTGAGAGCACATGTGTCCAAAAATGTCATGTTCGAGTTCTCTAATGAGCATCAAACGTCACTGCACGTCATCTGGCGTATATTAGCTAGTGAGCACAAATCAAGGTTGAGGTTGTTATTTCATTCTTCTCGCTGCTGAGTGCTATGTTTCATGTGCTTCAAAAATCATTACACACTTGACTTTCTGCCTATTAATTCATTGAGCAAATGTACATTGTGTAGCATTTGTCATTGTGATATTTTGGTTTTGCACAGTGGAAGGGCCAATGTTTTTAAACATGTATGTACATAAAGATGTGAAATGTATTTAAAAAAATTAAAAACTGAATTTTTCTGTGGAAACAAAAGATTTTAGCATAAATTTGTACGATCAGTAATTTAGCTCTGTTGTTGCGTATCTGTTTGTCACGCATCTCAAACTGAAACATTCCACGCAGATACATCGTTGATCTGACGCCAGCCTGGCGAATCATTATTTATTATACTTTCCTGTCATCATCGCATGTTTATCAAAACATGGCAACTTGAGTAAAGACTCATGTAGCGATGCCTAAACAATTCTTTTTTTAATGTTACTAATTGAATAATAAAGGAGTATGGTAACCTTTTATGTTGACATTACTCTTGGTGGTGATTACAGATTTAAGTTAAATGTACTAAAAAATGTTGACAAAAAATTTACCAAAAATTTCTTTCCATATGCTAAAAATAGATTTTGTTGATGATACTCATAGATCCAAAGATTACATTTAGGGCTATTTGAATTAAGAATAACTTATTTGTTACTCACACAAACCCAAAAGCAGCTCATATGGCCACATCGAGTCGCAGAATTTAGGACTCGCAGAGACTGCATCAGGCATTAAGATATCTAGCGCCGGCCCTCAATAAGCAGCCTATGGTGGGAATTTACCGTATTTGACGGCATATAGACGCACCCTTATTTAGACGGCCACACACAAGGAAAAAAGTTTCAATAGCATGGTTTCTTTTAGTTCGCACGTTTCGTAAAAGCCAAATAAACAATTATTGAGTGCAATTACCTTCACGTATAAGACTGTATCCTTCACGTATAAGATGCAGGTAACTCTTTTGAGACGAAATTTAGGGAAAAAAGTGTGAAAATTCAGGCTTAATTGTCTCAGTGCATGCTAGAAGCAAGATAAAATTTAACAGAACAACTTGTTGTTAGTCGCCAAACTCGTGATGCACAGCCAAATATGTATGGTGAAGGATAGCTAAATTTGATAATGATAGCTGCAAACTTTAAAGGTTTTTGGATATTGCAAAACAAACGTAAAATTTTTCAATTAACCGATTTTAAAAAAACGTGGAGAAGTGGTAATAAATGATATAAAAGAATTTTTTTCATTGTGATGACAATGCCTCTCAATCATCAATCGGCTCATCAGCGGCCGAGCGGTAAAGATGCTGAACACTGGTAGTTTAGTCTGAGGTTCGAATCCTGCGAACAGGCTGGCTGCACAGGCGTTTTCGTGGTTTTCCCCTTGTGTAATATATATATGAGCCAGTTCCCTTAGAAAGTTCTCCACAAAGGCATCCCTCCCTTTAGGCAGATAGCCCTTGTGTGCTTTGCCATAATTGAATAATCCAATCATCAATCAATCAATGAATGGCGAAATCTGTAGTATGGTTCTAGATCCAGAAAATACTGCTACCGATAGTGAAGAAAAGTGACAGAGAAGTTACTGAAAACAAGGAAATTTCAATTGACAAGTTAGTTGGAATTCTCTAAATAGCAGCTGCAGGACTTCAACAATGTAACTAGACAAGAGATTATGTTTGTCTACAGAATTAAAGAGAAAGTATTAGGACAAAAACGAAGCAACTTGAACAGCTTACATTGAAAGAAATGTTTAATAAGGTAAACAAATAAATATTAATTTTTTATAACCCTTTAGATCATAAATTCTTCATTATTTCATAAATCATGATTTCATATTTTTAATTTTATAATTTCTACATGCCATCTTACTAGATTTAAACTTATGATCTAATATCTGGAATCACCGAAGTCCCGACGAGTCCTGATTTCGGACTTTGTACAGTATTATAAAGCCCGATTGTTGCAAGTCCTGTAATTGCCATATCGGGAACTCCCACTAAAGTCTTTCCTTCTCAGAATCATTGTTGTCACTTTCTTCATTATCAGTAGTGATATTTCCTGGATTTAAAACCATACTATGGATTTCACTTATCATTATTTGATTATTGATTGGGGCAGTATCACTGCAGTGAAAAATGTGTTACATCGTCTTCATTTATTGTCACTTCTCCATAAAGTCCATTAACTGGAAAATTTCGTCCTCTTTAGTATTTAAAATGTGTAACAAAATAATATTCTTAGTTCGCCTAATTCTGAAATCACACTTTTAGAAGCCCAAATTATGCCAAGGTTGTTTGAGAAGACAAGGTCCAATTGCTTTCCAGAACTTCAAGAATTAAAAACATTTTCTAAAAATTCAAACTTTAATTTTGATAAAATAGCTGTAATAATAGCCTGTATAAAATAATAAGGTGGATCAAGTTATAAAATTACAAAAAAAGCACATTTGCTGTTACTTGAATTTAAGTTCATTTTAATTTAATTCTTTCTCTCTTCCTGACTGCTATGCCAACACAAGAAAACCAGTATGAACAACATCCCACTCCAAGCAAATATTCTTGGAGCTTCATTTATTATTATTTAGGTCAAATTTAAAAATGTTTGCAACCACTGAAGGTCCAAAAGCTTGGCAATAAACATCAATCAATGTGCTGCTATTTGTCACATTGTGATTCTGTATCTGAGTAGGTGCTTGAAAGTACATTTGGGGGCATGGTAATCTGAAGGTTTGGATATCAGAAAAACCCAGATATTGAACATCTAGATTTTTGGACTTTGTACTGTATTATTGTCAAATTTTGAGCCTTTAAAAACCAATGTAAAATGTATGTGAAAATGCTTTCAATGTACTAAATGTAACAAAACTGTAATTTAAATGCTACACACTGGAAAATGACTAATGTACTATCGAATAACAGATTGCTCAGAAAATACCAAAAGAGATGTCAGAAATGCAAATTTTGAAATTAAATATCACAGGCAGTCATTGCTTTACAAGAATCAAACTTTTTGTTTTTGTTTTTTAGATTAATTGTAAATTTTTACTAATTATTATTATTATGGGGAGCAAGAGACAGCATAAAAGTTAGCTTTCATAATTTTTGCAAAATTAAACTTTTTGTTTAAAAATGCTATAACATGAATGTTTACATAATTTAAAAAATTTTAATTATTGGGAGTATGTGTCTGTGATATGTGGTTGCAAAAATAAAGGCTCCATGCTTTTATGGATGCAAGGTATATTGATGGAAGTATGTTATTTTGAAAGGTTATGCTTATTTTTTATTCATTTTGTTTCTTTCTGTTTTACCTAATTAGTATCATATAGGATGTCATTTTAGGGCACCAGTTCTGAAACTGTGGTACATTGCAATATTTTTAGTCGTACAGTTTTTACAGAAAAATATTAAATGAGTGTAAAATGACATCCCTTTTAACATTTTTTTTAAATCTTTATTATTCAGAAACGCGTATATCTTTTAAGTTTTTTACTTTTAAGACTCTATCTTTAATGTTGAAACGATGTTGTTAAGATTTTCAAGAATCGTAGCGCCACTCCAGTGTACTTATTTATATTTTATTGTAATGTAAAAGTTTCATATGCAAGTATAATTAAATAATATGAATTTAAAGGTTTTATTCTTTGATTATGTACACTCCATTTACAATGCAGTGATTTTTAATGGCAAAATGCTTTTATGGTGGTACATATATTTTTGTTTCATATTTATGTGGTACAAAAGTTGAAAGGTTTTGAGAACCTCTGTTTTAAGGGTAAAAGTGGTATTAAAAATTATTATCTCATACTTATTTTCCAATTCGCTATATTTTTTGTTATGCCTAATTAGTATATTTTATAATATCATTTTAGGGGTAAAAATGGCATTAAAAATGGGAACATTTTCATGTCTTACAAATCTATTTTTGAAGATGTTAGGGATGCGATTGACTGGGTCCATATGAGGGTATGTATAATTTTTCTTTTATGGGAAACTCTTAAATGTTGCTCTTGATTACACTTATGTGTAGCAAAAGTTCATATGGATAGAATAGTTTCTTGTACTGTTATTTTTGTGTGTCTTTCTAATTATGCTTGTATAATTTCAATCCATTGTAGCCTGATCTCGCATTTTTTGCTATAAATGATCTCCATTTTTTGCTGACTGTGAATTAAATACAGTCAAAAGTCGTTAATTCGGACACCCATAATCCGGAATGATCTATAATCCGGACCTCAAAGCTAAAAACTTTCTGCGCATGTGCCGCATTGGCACATGCGAACAGGCGTTTTACGCGTGCGCGTAAGACCTTGACTACTGCGCATATGCGTGTGCGCAAGTGCAGAATACGTTTTCGCCTGCGTCTTTAATGTATAACGGACGGTGTAAGCTAAAATTATCTAATTATCTATTTCAGTTAATGTTAATGATTGCGTTGTTCCTTAATCTTCGAATTGGATCCCACTTATTATTTTTTGCAGACTGTAAGAGCAATTTTATAAAAGGGTTTAATCCTAGTATCCGGTGCACACGGGATTTGGCTACTTTTGGCGACTTTATGATGAGCAGTAAAAACGAGACGTGAGTAGTCAACGAGTCATTCAAGATACATAGTATAGTGTAGTATATACACACATACTAGTATATATAGACGTTCTTTGGATAAATTTTGGTGTTGGTGATAATTTTCAAAATCGCGCCAAGGCTGCACCGTATACTAGGATTTTACCTTATAAAAGTAAACTTGAACTTTAGATTATGTCAAATAGAATTTCCGATGCTGGAACTTCCAAAGGATCTACAAAACGAAAGTATGTTTCGATGTCCAACAAACAAAAAGTGGAATTGCTGCAAAAAATGGATAAAGACATGAAGAATGTGACAGAGAGGTTAGTGAAAACGAAAAAATTTCAATTGACAAGTTAGTCGGTATTCTCGGCACAGCAATTAACGGGACTTGAACAGCGGGACTTTGTAACTGAACAAGAAATTATGTCTGTTTATAGAATTAAAGAGAAAGTATTATCACATAAAATGAAGCAACTTAAACAACTTACATTGAAAGAAATGTTTAATAAAGTAAACAAATAAATATTAAGCTTTTTTTTTTTTTTTTTTTGTAAATTTTGATACCCTTTAAATCATAATTGTTCTTTATTTCATAAATTACGGTTTCATATTTTTAATTTTAGAATTTCTGCATGCCATCTTACGAGATTTAAACTGATGATCTATAATCCGGAAAAATCGATAATCCGGAATCAACGAGTCCAGATTAACGACTTTTGACTGTATTATATTTTAGTTAATAATAGGAGCTAAATTGATTAACCAACTTGTAGATCACAGTAAGCAATGTATTTTCCATATTTTCATGTATAAATGGGTGGGACTTTGGCAATTCAATAACAATAACCAAATGATCACTTAAAGCAGTGCCTACTGTATATCATTATGTGTTTTAATACTAAAGTATGATTTAAAAAGTTACGTTTTTGTCTTAATGTAACATAAATATTTTTATTCAATATTCACCATCAGTGCATGCTGAGTGTCAACATTTACTGATGTAATTATATTTAGCAGTTATTTTGGACATTCATCAAGCAACTATGTGAATATTGACTTTCACAGTAGCATGTACATGCAGATGTTGAATACTGCATGTACATGAATTCCATGTACATTATTCCATGAAAGGATTGAATGTCGTGTTAATTCCAGTTTGTTTTTCTTTAAAGAGAATAAATTAATACCATGTTGGCAAGATATTTTCTTTTACTATTTTTGTTCATATCTCTTCCTCCACTTTCTTTTATTTAGGGCAACTTAAAAGAAGAAACAATCAACAATTTATCAAAATATGTAGCTCGTGATGAGCGTCTTCCTATGTTGTTTAATAGGTATGTTTTTATATTTTTCATCTAATATTAATTTAAACAATTATTTTTCAACTTTGGAATAATTATTATTTGAGGGTAATGTGACATTGTTATACATCTGCATACACACAATGAGTTCTTCCTTCTATACTGAGAACCACTATCAGATGAACATTTTGTTTACATAGGTCTTCTCTCATGCTTTAGAAATACACTTCCTTGCAGTCATAATCTCTTAATGCAGAAAATTCTTTGTTATTGGTTATAAATATGCTGCACTTACATATTTTTTTCATTATTATGAAAGTTGTGTTTAGTTTCTATAAAATTTTAATATTCTATTGACATACTAGTCAAATTTTCTACTACCATGCTTATAGTTATAAATATCTGTAATTTTTTTCTGAAGCATTCACTTCAAAATTCTATATTCTGCACATGTAAGCAGTTTTAGGAAAAGTCATCATTCCATCTTCAATCTGTCACCAAATTCTTGAGAAATTTATTATCTTTTGATGTAAATAAAATCACATTACTGTTATTATTTATTGTGACCATCGGAATTTTTCATCGCATGCTGTAAAATCGGCAAACATAAGTGCTTGATTTTCATTATGCAAATTTAGACGTATTGGTTTATTTTTTGTGATAGATTTTAGAGTATTTTGTCTAATGTAGGTTAATTAGCCATTATTTAAAAATTTCTATCTGAAGCCTTAATATTATTGAAAATTATGTTGTGAAAGAGAGTTCTCTTGCAATTATTATAGTGTAAAGTAGAATTTAGCATCTGTGGGAATGAGAAATAATAGCAAGGAAGAGATTGTCGAGAGATCTTATTTTCTTGAAGACTTTTGTGGAATATGGTGAATAATTTGAGAAATGATGCTCATATAATAAGTATCTGTAGATTTATGACATGATAGTTTTCATCAGGGCCATGTCTAGAGCCATTTAGGTTTTGAATGTAATTGTAATTTGTTAACTAAATAAATTTTTAAGTTTTGTTAATTCATTAGTTTGAAGATAGGCACACAAAATTGTTAAATGGAAATAAAAATAAATATTCAATTATTTTAAGAACAAAGTTTTATCTTCTGCTTTTGCCTTCTATTATTAAAAATATTCATTTTACTAACAGTTTTTAGAATATCCTTATCTTTGTGCATTATTTGAAATAAATGATGCACTAATCTTTATTTGGAAGTGCCTTGCAGGAAAATGTGTTTACCAATTTCAGTATGGAAAATGAAAATCCTTCTTAGGCACTACTCACTGGTAATGTTAAAAACTGTCTTAAAATTATTTTAGCATTATAGAACACAGGGATGGCCAAACTTAAAGACGATGGGAGCCACAGGATAGATTTGATGAATGTTGAAGAGCCACAAGTCCAAATTTATGTCATTTCAAAAATAATGAGACAGGTTTTGAAGATAAAGAAACATTTGCAGTAAATTAATGAATATGTAGTTAACATGATTACATATAAATAGGAGTAAATATATCTGATATGTACTGTTTTTTGTTCAGAAAAGTTAAGTCACAAGAAAATAAAAATTGTAACACATGTATAGAGCGTTTTTTCTGCAGGTAGTGAAACCAAATATTTTCTTCTGATTTCCTTTATACCTCTCCATTTACTGTTGTTTTATTGTAGTAGAATTTTGAATCGGAAGCATATTCATTGGTCTACAATTACATAAAAAGTGTTACTTTGAATAAATTACAAATTATTTAAAAGAGAAATGAGTTTTTTTTATAACTCATGAGGAGTCTTTTAGAAAGTGTAAATTCAATTATACAGGTCAGTATGCGCTGCAGAGAAACTGTTATTCGAGAAAAAATATTTATTTACAAATATGCTATGAACTTGTTTCGCTTTTTCTTAAAAGGTAATTTTGTTTCTCCATACAATTAACATAAGGACCAAAATATTGAAATCATTCGAATCTTTAGATCCTAACCTAAGAAATCATTAAAACTTTTTTTCCAAAACTTTGGAATAACTACTTTTACTGATGCCCAGTGTAGAAGAATTCACACACGCACGCAAAAGATATCAATTTCATTGGTGTTTGAATAATCAGTATCTTTCATGCCTGACTGATACATCATTTCAGCGTGGCATTCAAACAGAATCTGCACACCGTGCATCATTGAAAATTTCTCGAAACTATCTCTTGAATTGTCCCGATAATTTTTGATGTAGATAACAAATTTCATGCGCATCATTCAAAGTTCTCATATCTCTCGATTCATTCCGATAATTTTCGACATAGATAACAAAGTTCATACACATCATTGATAATTACTAAAAATAAACTATTACTCAAATTGTCCTGATAATTTTAGACGTAGATAACGAAATTCATGCTCATCATTGAAAAAACTCGAGACAACCTCAAATCATTACGATAATTTTGGACATACATGACCTATTTCTAATAAATCTAATACTTCATGCCAGCCTATATAAATACTTCGTTGAGTACGTATTTCATCTGTCTACCAGCCGAACATTTCAACCTAGCTGTTTAATTCTGAGCTGGTTTTCAAGTACATGGCAAATCAAAAATAATGTTGCAGAAAGAAAACATACCTGTCACTACTATAATAAATTTGTTTCACAAATGCAGATGTAATGTGAATGCTTAACTCTTCATATTTCTGTGGACATACACAGATGTTCGATGTAGAGGCCTTTCGTAACACGGTAGACAACTGCACAATAGTTTAGTTTGTAAGCTCTTGCCAAATAGGTGTTATGGATCCATCATGTTCTAAATGTTGGACCCATAAAGGTGGTCAAATGACGTACAGCTTGTCTTGAATTTCTAAGTAAAATAACTGAGAAGAAAGTTTAAAATAAATTATTGTCAGCCAAACTGTTACATAGTACAACTTTCCATTTGGTTATCCAACCTGTGTACAGAAAATAAATCTTAAATTGAGTTTGAAATGGAGCCTGTAATCAGAAGATATTTAAAAAAATAAAGGATCAGACTTTAAAATGAAATGTTTATGATAGCAAAATTACACAACTTTATACAACTGCTTGATCCTACTTTTCGTCTGACTTTCATGAAGGATGTTTTAGATGTACAATGATGATCGAAAACTAGAAGGCAAAAAAAGCATTAAGTTTAATAGAAGTGTAATGCTGGCATCAGAGCCGTGACAGCTGCAGAGAGGCAGTACTAAGGGGTGAAAATTTTTAGGTATGCCGAGCAGCAAAATGCCTAATGCAAGGTAGAAAGAAAAAAGGTCATCAAACCAGAAATTGAAAAATACAAGGAAATATCACAAGCTAAAGAGATTTCACCAATATCAATATGCGGATTTTGACAGAAACTTTGGAGAAGAGATGTTTGTGTTCTGTTGATCCCTCACTCCTTGATGCAATGTTATTGATATGAAAACTTGATTGTTAAGGTTAAAGATCTCTATCTGGAATAAAAATATTTGATAACATGGGAATTAAACATTTTGACTAAAATTTAAATCATTGTCAAACCAGTGAGATTCCTCTGATGACTCCAAATATTTCAGCATCCACAACCATTGATGAAGTAAATGATCTCTGCCTACGATAATTATTACAAAAGATAGTTTCATGTGGGAAAAGATTTCTTTAAGCATATTATTGTGAATGGTTGCAGAATCTGTGAAACAATTGCCTAAAAATGCGTGACTTGCTCAGGGATAGGAAATTAATTTTGAAGGGGTTCTGCAGAAAACTGAGACAACTAAGTAAGAGGCTGAAGGTTTACTTCACTAAAAGTAAAATCCTCGTAAAATTCTTCCACAGATTGAAAGAGCTCTATGTGGATTGCAAGGTGAAACAGGTTTCTTCAGCAATTACTCATGCCATTCAAGGACTGAATAAAAGTAGTACTCTACAATGAATAGCAAGTCTTCCAGGTGGTTCACAATTGTTGTGAACAATGGGATCTCACAGGAATGTAAGAAAATAGTGCCTGAAGTAAAATCAACTTGAGAGAAAAAATATTAGGGAGAATAATTAAATAAAAATTTTAGCATTGCGTTTTAGATTAACTTCATATTATTGTGTTCTGATGACCATAACCTGTTCAAAAGAAAATAGGTGGTGTGGTGTATTTAATTATGGCAAAGCACACTAGGGCTATCTGCCTAAGGGGAGGGATGCCTTTCGTGGAGGACTTTCTAAGGGAAACTGGCTCGTATACACGTTACACATGGGGAAAACCACGAAAACGCCCATGCAGCCAGCCCGTTCGCGGGATTCGAACCTCGGACTGAACTACCAGTGTTCAGCGTCTTTACCGCTCGGCCGCTGGTGGGCTCAAAAGAAAATAGGAATATTAATTACCAGAAATGGAATTATCTGTAATTTTATGTATTTTTTCCTTTGGTGATAAGCCAGCAGTGGACATTTTGAAATCTATCAGATTTTTAGATACATAATGTCAGAAATTAAATTAGTGATTAGTAAAGAAATGTGGAAACTACAGGATTTCTGTTTCAAATGCCATTTGTATTAAAAAATTAAATTATATTTATTCAAAATCAGTTGCATTTCAGATGGCAAAAGATCACAAGTAGCTCACGAGCCACAGCTAAGGTGTCAGAGAGTGGCAGTTCGGCCATGTATGTTATAGAATGCTGGTATAATTTTATTTTGGCTTTAAAAGTCAAATTTTCTGAAGCATTGGCTAGTTTCTCAGTCTTACTTAAGGTTATTACTTATTTCATTTCCATTTTAATTTCAGTAAAATTTGTATTATTACTATAAATTCATTCAATGCAAGTTTCAAAAATCATGAATTGTTTTCTGTGTAATCATATTTATAATCACCACCAGTATGCAAATTGGTTATAATTCTATATGGACTAGTTAAAATTATGTTAATGCCAAAAGTTTCTACTCCTATTTAAGTGAGGGGGGATAGAATAATATGTCCAGTTTCATTTTCCAAGTAACTAAAGTTATGTATATTTGATTTGCTTATACTGATATATAATACCACTGTAGATGTAGAATCTAGTCCTATTTCTTAAATAATGTAGCCATTCATCTCTAAGCAACTGCCTTTTAAGTTTCATTTATGGATGGATGTTTAATGAACTTTTAAAAGTTAATTTTCTTTTAAGACATTTAATTGCATCATAACATGATAGACCATATTTTATTTGACAAAGGTTTGATAATTTAATGCCTTGCTATTTTAATATATACAGTCAAAAGTCGTTAATTCGGACACTCATAATCCGGAATGATCTATAATCTGGACCTCAAAGCTAAAAACTTTCTGCTCATGCGCCGCGTTGGCACATGTGCACAAGCGTTTTACGCGTGCACGTAAGACCTTGACTACTGCACATATGCGTGTGCGCAAGTGCAGAATACGTTTTTGCCTGCGCGTTTAATGTATAATGGATGGTGTAAGCTAAAATTATCTAATTATCTATTTCAGTTAATATTAATGATTGTGTTGTTCCTTAATCTTCGAATTGGATCCCGCTTATTATTTTTTGCAGACTGTAAGAGCAATTTTATAAAAGTAAACTTGAAATTTCGATTATGTCAAATAGAATTTCCGATGCTGGAACTTCCAAAGGATCTACAAAACGAAAGTGTGTTTCGATGTCCAACAAATAAAAAGTGGAATTGCTCCAAAAATGGATAAATACATGAAGAATGTGACAGAGAGGTTAGTGAAAACGAAAAGAAATGTTTAATAAAGTAAACAAATAAATATTAAGCTTTTTTTTTTTTTTTTTTTTTTTTTTTTTTTTTTTTGTAAATTTTGATACATTTTAGATCATAATTGTTCTTTATTTCATAAATTACGGTTTCATATTTTTAATTTTAGAATTTCTGCATGCCATCTTACGAGATTTAAACTGATGATCTATAATCCGGAATCGCCGAAGTCCCAACGAGTGCGGATTAACGACTTTTGACTGTATGTTGTCAATAAATGAAAATGGGGAGGCAGAACACGTAGTTCTTGATTTATATGTATATATGCACATATATTTTTAAGTGTTATTGTATGCAACCTTTTGCTGGTGCACTTGCCAACAAGTTCAATGAATCATTTGCATAAGGAGCAAATTACACTGAAAGGCTGCCTTGTTTAATGAGATTTTAAGCTCATCATAGCAGATGGACTATTTGATGTTTTGTCATCATTCTTCCATCAGCAGTTTTGAATGCCGTTATTAATTTTCTTTAAAATATTCCATTATTACATGTAAATTTTTTGTAATTGAAAGTGTAAGCAGTTTAGATTGTCCATTTACGTGTTTGTGTAATGCTTTGAATTACTTTATCTACCATGTGAAATACAGAATCTATGATTATTTTATGCTGTAAAGACAAGTCATTCTTTGTAGACATGTCTTTTTGCTGGCTTAAGACATATTTTACTACTGCTGTATTATACTATATGCTGCCCTAGATTTTTATGCTGAAAAATTTATTTATCCATCAGTAAGATAATTTAAATTTCTAAATGCATTCTTCTGCATTAGTTAGAGCATCTCAATCTTGCATGAAAATAAACGTGCTCCGAAAAACAGGAAAATAAACTTAAAAAAATCTCGTTAACAAATCCCATGAAAAGACTTTACAAGCCCCCTGAATTAATTTTATGGAGGAAGTAAGAGTCATAAATAAAGGCTTTAGCTCAAAATTCAACATTTTTCGTATAGAAAGTTTTGTGCGAGTCATAAATCAGTAAATGTTTTTATTTCCAGAATGCATGAAGTTGGCAAGAAAACATTTCTTCTAACGAATTCGGACTATGGCTACACTACGGTATGTAATTGTTTGGTTTTTATTCCTGTATCGTTAGAAAATCGCTGCAAAAACTGGGAAAGGCTTCTTTTTATTAAATTTATGATGGCATTGTTTTGTAGGAGAGCATAAAGATATTTTGTTTTTAAATCAAGAGCAACAATATTGCACTTCTAAAGATGAAAATTAGTTTGGTGGTGATCCAAAATTAAATGATGGGTTATACTAAATCATCTGAAATGATATATTCTGAACTCTGATTTTTGAAAGCTCTTCTGGGTAGCAAATTGTTGTATTTCTAACCCTTAAATTAATATATGAAATGAAAGAAAAAGATATACCTAAATGAGAAATAACATTTTCTCATTTTAAATCTGAAAATATAACTCCAGAGCAACAGCTTTAGCTCTTGGGTTATTAGACAACCTAAAGTTAAGACAAAAAAGACAATCTTTTCTCGTAACCTTATATACAGTATAAAGTCCATTATCCAAAATGATCTATAATCCGGTCCTCAAAGCCACAACCTTTTTTTTTTTTTTTTTGTGTGTGTGTGTGTGTGTGTGTGTGTATGCTTTATGCATGTGCATTGGGAGGATGTCTCTCCAGATACGTTAAAAAATGCTTAGCATAATTTATATCCAGCTACCATATTTCATGGTCAGGATGATGAAGATGATAGCCATGAATTTGAAGGTTTTCGGACATCGCAAACTAAAGGTGAAATTTTCCAGTTATTGGATTTTGTAAAGAAATGTGGAGAAGTGGTAATAAATGAAGATGATATAACAGAAGTTTTTCATTGCGACGACAATGCCCCAATCATCATTCAATTAACGGACGGCAAAATCTGTAGTGTGGTTCTAGATCCAGAAAATACCGCTTCTGATAGTGAAGAAAGTGACAGAGAGGTTATCGAAAACGAAAAAATTTCGATTGACAAGTTAGTTGGTATTCTTGACACAGCAATTGCAGGACTTGAACAGCGGAATTTTGTAACTGAACAAGAAATTATGCCTGTTTATAGAATTAAAGAGAAAGTATTATTACATAAAAAACGAAGCAACTTAAACAACTTACATTGAAAGAAATGTTTAATAATGTAAACAAATAAATATTAAGCTTCCTTTTTTAATTTTGGTACCCTTTAGATGATAATTGCTCTTTATTTCATAAATTACGCTTTCATAGTTTTAATTGTATAATTTCTGCATGCCATCTTACCAGATTTAAATTAATGATCTATAATCCGGAATCGCCGAAGTCACGATGAGTCCGGATTATGGACTTTGTACTGTACTATATTCGTTAAGCTTCTGTATACAGTATTTAGTCTCTCTCTCTCTCTCTCTCTCTTTTTTTTTTAGATGATAGTAGTCATTTATTTATCTGAAATCTCAGTTGAGAGATTTATTTTCCTTTTTGTAGCAAGTTCATTTGCGAACATCTGTTGCCAAAATAAGAAGGTATTAATTGAAGAACTTGTTAGTGCCATTTGTCTGATAATACAGTAGGTGCCTTTGATGTGCTTATTTCTTTATTGTAAGAGCCTTTTTCTAGTCCAAGTCTTAACAGTAAAATTGCTCATGTAAAAAGGTGTTTGTTATTTTCCTAGAATTTGGAAATCGAATCTAGTGTTGGAAAGCCTGAATTTCTGATCCATGAGTTTTCTTTATTTCCTGTGAAAGTTTGAATAATAGCCAAAGCACATGAGCACATATTTATTTGGTTATAGCAGAGCAGAGGTATGCTTCGTGGAGGATTTTATAACAGAAATTGTTTGATAGCCACATTACACATGCAAAAATCACAAACATGCCCATACAACTAGCCATTTCTGTAATTGAACCCAGCGCAAACTACCAGTGTTCAGTAACTTTACTGCTCAGCCATTGGTGGGCCTTTATGTGAAGGATTATATATTTTGAATACCAAAACCAGGTTAACTGTTTTGTACTTGTTTAACTACAAATTTTCTTTTCTGTAACCTTTTAATTGTGTCTAGTTGTGTGCAATATGACAACAGGGAAATGTAAAATAACATTAATGAATCATATTGATGAGACAATTATATTTATATTGTTGCAAGGTAGCCATTATTCACCTAAAACTGCATCATGATTGTAAGTACTATTAACCTCTTCCCTGATTATCCTGAATTATCTCAGGTTCATACATATTGTAGTTAATTATTATTCTGAGAAAATTCAAGCAGAATTTGTCGGTATGATTTGTTTTATCATGGTTTTACTCGGCCTGGAGGAAAAAAGGAAATATTCAGCTTTGATTGACCCAGTTTGCCAAGTTTTGTTCTTCTGGCAGGACTGATCACGTGCTTTCCCTATTGTATAGTATGTGTTGGCTTGTGGATTAGTAATGTATAAAGAAGGATAGTTGCATTGAAAAAAGGTAAAATAATTATTTTCTGCCACATCAGGAAGACCCGGCATTAGTTCTTCACCACGCAGCTTAACCTCAAGGCATTTTCCAGATGTTATTCCTGTTACTGAAAAAAAAAAAATCAAATCAAATGAGACAGTGTACTCTGTCCTCTCGTAAAAGAAATTCCAGAGGTAAGCCAGTAAAGAAAAGACCAGCTACCAATGTACAGAATGTCAGGTATAACTTTGTGTTGTCCCGTGTTTCAAAAACTATCATACAAAGACTAATATTTAACTTTTTTTCATTTGCCCGAGATAACTCGGGATAGTAAACTAATATTAAAACTAAATGCTTTTACACCTGTAAAAAATTAAAAATTCAACTTTAAAACCTACATATTTCGTTTTCTTTCATTTCCTTGTATTAAATAATAAAATAAGGAAAGTAATGATTTTTTACATTTTTTCCAAAAAAATTTTTAAGGGAAGCAGTTAGTAATAGACATAGAATAGTTAGTATTACTTTCTTCTTCATGTTTGGTTGGTTGACTGACCCATTATATTAGATCAGTGGTAGTCAAACTTCAGGACAGTGGGAGTTGTATGTTAGGATTTAGGAAATTTCACCAGTCTCAACTGTATTTTCTGTCTTTCTATTAAGCTACAATTTCTTCTCTACATTGTTTTAAGACTAATGAAAACGGATTTCTTGAAAAGAAACATCTGAAGTGAGTTACTGAGAATTTTGCACTTTTGTGTATGTAATTAATGTGGTTGCAAATAAACAGAAGTAAGAACTTTTGTCTTAGTTAGGAAAATTTATTTCTATGATAGGTGTATATAAGTCTTTTTACTAGTGTATGAGGCAAATGAACATTTCTCCCAGACTGAAAACTAAACATTTTCTTCTGATTGTTCTAATTTTTGTAGTTTCAGTGATATATGAATCATTAAAATTCACCCTGTGATGGCACTGTATGGCACACTTATAGTATGGTATCCAAAAATTTACCACAATTCTCTCAAGTAATCATTGTGATGCTGCTGCTTTTAGAAAATTCTTGAATCATGTCTGCAATTATGCACATAGGTAATATATTACAAATAGCTGTCGAAAGTTACTTATAAACATGTGGTGTATATACCCTGTAATGTGAACATGACTGCAATTTTCTACCAGTTGAACTATTTAGCTATAGTTTCTGAATTTTATAGTGTTGATTAAAATTTGAGGTGTTACTGAAATATGTTAATCAAAATTTTATTGGGAAAATGATACTCGAGAGTTTAATTAATGTTACTTTCAAACTGTACTTAAATACTTCAGTATTAAGAAGTGTTTTTCCACTTATTAATTTGAAGGATTCGAGATGGGATAATTAAAAACCTACTTTGATATTCCGATTCAAATTCGAAAAAATTCAGGATTTGTCCCATCTTTAGATTTTTTCCAATGCAAATTTAAAATGAAACATATTTGTAATATTCTTCTCCAAAACTCGAGATATATCATCGTAATGTCAGTTTGTGAAGTTCATTAAAAAATGCTGCAAACTGATGAATGCAGTCAAAGTGAAATCCATGAAAATGCCGATTAGGACAACAAAAATGAAATTTCATGGTGTGCTGAGTGTAACTGAAGTTTGGCATTATCAGCTATGCAAAGAAAGATTCATGCTGGTATTCCTGTTAAAATTTCTTACAAAAGTGGATTTCAAATAAATATCCAGATCGAGCTTTTACTAATGATGGACGTTTTCTGATATGGAAGATTTAATGTAAATATTGTACATGACCATTCTATAGGTCAGATGGCAATGTTACTAATATTATTTTGGAGTCCACTCTGCTTCAAAGTCTACAAAAGAACTAGCAGCTAATGATCCTATAAAATTTAGTGTGGTCTAAGTAGAAAGAAGGATGTCAAGTATAATTAAATATCACAAATGTTACATATTAAAATCAAAATCGTTACATATTAGTTGAAGAATGAAGAATTCTGCAGTTTGCACATAATGAATGTAATTTGTTCATATATTTCCATTTTTTATTTTCTTTTATGTAGTTTTTAGTCAGATGTAGATGTCTTTCAGTATAAGCTTGTTTGATACTGGACCAGCTGGGTTTCAAATTTGAAGGTGCTGTCACATTTCTTCCAATCAATTTTGACATACCCCTATAAGAAATCTAATATCAATTTCTGGTAATCGTTGATGGTGGGGTGAGTTGCATATATTTGTAAATTTCAGCTGAAAGTTTTAGAACTATACAAGTGTCTAATTAAGGTCCGCAGAACATGACAATTTGAAGGGATAAGTGTTTGAAATGTCTGGAGATCAAATGTGGTATTTCAAAATTGAAAATTTACATAGCAAAACTCCAGCAGAATTTTACAGCACATTGCAGTGTATAGTAAATTTTAGTTCAGATTTCCATTGAGCTATTCACTTTCACAAAAAACAAGCCAGCTATTAAAGATGATTGAAGGCCAGGAAAACTAAAAATAGAAGAAAGAAATAGGATTCTTGCAAATATGCTAGAAAGGAGGAAGATTATCATGTAGCATGTGGAGGAATATCTCAAGCTACAGTGATGTGACTAATATGAGTACATCATATTTTGAGAAATACTTTCTAGAAAAAAGCTGCTGAGTAAGTTTCTTACCACTTGATGTGACTTTATTTAAATAAAGGTTTAATGATAAAGGTAAGACATCTGTTTCCAATAATGTGATGAAATATGATTCAATTACTTTGAACCAGAGTTTAAATTGTGGTTAGTCCAGTGAAAAAGCTAATACTCCTTATAACCCCAAAAATTCTGACACGTGCAATCATAGATGAAGTAAGTGATGTTCTCCGTGTAGGATACGAAGATGTCATTAGGAAAAGTAAAGAAGTCTATTTTGAAAGAGCCCCTTTGTGTGTTGAGTTTTTCTTTCCTGAAAGAAGTTTCTTCTATGACTGTCCATGCCATTCACAGTGTGAAAAAAAAGTAGTACCCTAAAAACAATACCAAATCTTCCGTAACACTAAATCGTGATTATTGAGAAACCGGAAGTCAAGATGAATGGCAAGGAGAAACTGCCTCAAATGAAATCCAAGAAGGAAAAAGAATATAGCCAGTTTTTAAATGACCTTCTCATTTATCTTTTGTGATTAATAGCTATTATCTGCTCTAAAAATAATGTGGTCATTATAGAATAATTCGCTGAAACCAAATTATTTTATTTACTAATTTCTTTGCTACTGTGTTGATTTGTACACAAAGGACATTTAAAATTGATTAAATTATTACACACATAAAGTAAGAAACTAAATTATTAATTGAGAAAGAAATGTGTCATTGCACTGTTTTTTTTGGGGGGGTCAAAATGCAATTACTTTATTTAAAAAATAAAACTGCTTTTTGAGTCAAATGAACCTTATTTGAGGGGTCAAAGAGCTTGACTTGCAAGCTGCAGTTAAGGTGCCTGAGAGCTGCATGCACCTCATGAGCCTCAGTTTGGCCATGCCTGTATTAGATAGTAAAGTATGCAAATAAAAGCCATTAATGCCCATGCTTTATTATTTGTATATATGCAACAGAAGTCTACGAAATGTAACTTTGGAATCAATAGGATGTGTAATAATGTAATAAAAATTATTTTAAAAGTGTATTTATTGATAACTCCATTTGTTTAAATATATAATGTGTGTATTTTTAATGCGAAATGCTAATTTAGTTAATTTAAGAATCTTCATCAGAAAATGTGTACACCACCTCCCCCCCCCCCAGAAAACAATTTTTCTGTTCATATATTTGAGAATATGTTATACTTTGCATTAATTGCATTTTCTTTTCACATTACAGAAAATAATGTCTTATCTTTTTGACTTTCCTTCTCAGGAAAAAGTAGGTATAGTTTTCCTATTTATTACATTATGTTAAATCATGTTTTTTATTTATTTTTTATTTCAGCTGAACATGCAAATTTGAATTCAAATCGTGCTTAATAATTTTTATATTTTTGGAGGGTGCACTTTTATTATCTAGCAAGCAGAGAGGCTATAATCACCAAAATAGGAAGTAACTTGCCAAAAATGTATGCCTTTGTATTATGGCCATCTGTCTGTTGTGTCACATTTTTAATCATCAGCACAATTTTTTAAACGTGTAGTGTTTTGTTTAGATCCTATCATTTCAAATTTCATCATCATATAAATTTTTTAGTTCATTGTTTGGTTTCTGGGATTTTCTAAAACTAGAATGGAATCCATAAACTTTCTGTAGAATTGAGGATTATTGCTAAATAATAAAATGCATTACTGAGGAATAAGACTTTTACTCTGAGACTGCTCTTTATGGAACTGTAAACAAAAGGTAAAAATGAGAATAAAATTTAACTGCTGTCATTGTTGCCTCAACATAATAGAAATGACGCTTACTGAAATGATTGCCAAAATTACATTGTTAATTAGTACATCTATGTCTGCCAGATAATGAATGAATAATACTAATTTTGTAACTCTTTATTAAGTATTCCATGAAAAGAATTGGCTGATAAATGTACACTTGTGGGAAAAAATTAAATAAGCTACTCTAATAAAATGCCTTATATGTTAATGTTAATTCTATTAAATTCTATTTTTATTAAATTAAGGTCAGAGAAATGTGGTTGATAGTTCAAGGTTAACATAGAACCAACAACTTAATGTTGTTTGTATTTATATAAATGGAAAAAATTTCATTCTTAGTTTTGCATTCTATTTCAGCGAGATTGGAAAGAATACTTTGATTACATATTAGTTGATGCACGAAAACCAGTTTTTTTCAGTGGTGGAACAACTTTACGGCAAGTTAATACAGTAAGTATTATGATTTTACATTCATTATATATTCAAAAATTTGCATAGTTCTGTTATGGATTTTCCATTTTGATTGAGTTTTGCTGTTACTGGGTTTCTGAGCCTGTAATAGGACTCATTAGAATGGAGTATAAAATAATGTTCTGCAAAGGCTTCTGTTGTAAAATTTTGTGAATATTTTAAGCCAGGGAAGTTTTTGCTTAGATATTAATAATTCATATAAATTTGTGAATTAAATTATAGTCTGTTTGGAGCAGTTTAAGCAGAATGACAACTGATAAAAAGAAGGAGCATATGGTATTTAAAATCAGGCAATTAAATGAGCATTAATATTACTAAAACACTATAAATTTCAAGGAAATTTGATTTACATATTTTTCCACGAAGAGCAAAAATATTCTGCTAGCTTTCATTTTTATAATGAATTCAGTCATTCTAAAATTTCTTTGCTTGTAATGAACTGTTTTAATTTGTAGACATTACCTAGCTGAAAGTTTACTGATTAAGGAGAAAAAAGATATGTCCAATTTTCTTCAGATACACAAAGTATCTTTCTAAATAGCTTACAGTTTTGAAAATTTTTATACTCAAATTGGCATCTTTACCTAGTGTCTCTGAGCATATTTCCTGCTTTAAATTCTTAATTTTAAAATCGAAACCATGGCATATAGGTGCATATCTAAAACATCTTAAGTTCAAATTTTACACAGAGTAGTCTATTTTTAGGCTTACTGGAAGTCAGGTCTAAGAATTTGTGTTCAGAAATGGGAAATAGACTTAAGTGTTTAATGCAAAACAAACAAGGTTTTGTCATAAGGTGAAGAAACTCCAAATTTATTGTGTTGATTATTTTTTTGTTTGAATATACACTTTACCTATTTCACATTACAGGAAACTGGTGCTTTGAGAATTGGGATTCATGTGGGCCCTCTAACACCAGGCCAAGTATATTCTGGAGGTATTGCAAAAGCTACATTAATTTTAAGCACCATATATTAGTTTTTAATTTTTATATTCTTTTCAAAGGAATGAATGAAATGGCTGTGTGGTTGTGTTATAGTTAGCAAATATTCTTAGTTTTAATTGCATTTAGCCCCACTGAAATTTCAGTATAGTTTTAATTAAAAAAAAAGTATTGAAAGATTCATTTTTGCCTACAATATAATATTAGGCTCTTAATTAGCTTTTATAATGGAATTTTTCCTTTTTTATTTATAATTTTTATTATTCTGTAATATCACAAAAATGGGCACACTTATTCTTGACTAAGATCTGACAAAAATAGTTTAGACTGAAAATAAAAACCTGTAAATAGAAAGATTAATTTAAAGTTTTTTTAAAAAAAGTAGTTTATGAAAAGTACTGGCAGTTATTTCATGTAGATAATAAAAATAGCAACTAAAGAACTAACATGCATGATTGCAAGAGCTAAAATTTTTATTGTTTGTATACAGCATGTTCATAAATGTTATTATGCGACTTCTCATTTTGCAGCTGTTGGCTGTAGGTATTTCCAATTATAAAAATCTTTAAATAAGGCAAATTTCATGCCTTGGCAATTTTAAATTTCAAAAGTCAATTTTTTAAACATTGCAGTATCCCAGCCCATGTAGTTATGTTTTGTAAAAAATTTGCATACAAAAATAAAAGGTTTGAACCCCCCCCCCCAATGTAGCAAAACATTTACATATAATGTTATGACTTTTGTGTGTATATATATATGTATGTATGTAAGTAATTTTAGTGAAATTTTATGTGAAAGTGTAGTATCTTGTACAATATAACATGAAAGGTCGGAAGAAACAAAGCTCTGCCAGAAAAATAAGATTATGGGGACAAGTCTATTTGACATTGAGGTAAATGGCTGTCTTGCTAAATTGGTGAGATATAACTGAGAATGAAACATACTTCTAGTCCAATGGATATGGTTACAAACGAAAACATTATTGAGAAAGCAATGCAAGTCGAAAACTTTTTTGTACAAAACATCTTGGAAGAAAAAAAAAAAGCAAGGAGAAGCCATCACAGTTCTAAAACTTCCTGGTATGAAATATGATTGTAAAAAGGAAGAAAAAAAAAAAAGCAAGGAGAAGCCATCACAGTTCTAAAACTTCCTGGTATGAAATATGATTGTAAAAAAAGTTCAAATAATAAAAGCAGTTTGAAAAATAAAGGAGTTCGAAAACTTCACATGTAAAATCATCATAGTCAAAAATATTGTGGTAAAAATAAAGCACCTACAAATCATTGCATGACAATAACACTGCAGATATTCCTTTATGAGACTTTTAAAAGTTGTAATGCATATTCACATAACGATTTGTTAGCGCAAGAAGGAATGAAGAAAATGATACTTAATTTTACTTTGGCATAAAAGCATCACCATGTTGAAGAAACGCAGTCATTTATTAGCACTGTATGATCACTAATTTTGCTGTATAGCTGCCTTTTTGCTTGGCATATGTCTCAAACCGAGACATTCTACCAAAGTTCACTGCTGATTTTATATGCGTTGAATAACATAATCCTGGCATCAACACGATGAATGATTTTCTATTATTTTTTGCTTTCATTACCACTTAATTATCAACTGGTGGCAGCTTAAGAAATTATAGCGATATCTAAATCCTTTTTTTTTTTAAACATTAATAGTTGAATACTAAACAGCACAGTAACCTTTTATGTTGATGTTACACTTTGCAAAAATTACAGATTTCAGCCAACTGCTGTGCAAAGCATTGAATGTGTTGACAAGGAGAAATTTAACTGACTTTTTTTCCAATATGAGAAAAAAAAAAAAGAGTGCTGTTTTATTTAAGAATAACTGATTTTTTGTTCAGGTGCTTGAAATTTATGTGGGAATTGATTTGTGTAGGATTTGGATAAGCCATTAGCATACCTAGGAAGTAGACATAAGGATAAAAAATAACTAAACTAATATAATTCAGGCTTAACTTCCTCAGCACACAATAGAAGCAAGACAAAATTTAGTGGAACAACTTATCTTCAGTCTCTAATCTCATAATACATGACCAGTAATATATAGCAGACAATAAGCTTTATGATGATAGCTGTGAATTTAAAAGTTTTTGGATATGGCAAACAAAAAGGAAAATTTTTCAATTGATGGAATTTGAGAAGAAATTAGGAGTAGTAGTAATAAATGAAGATGTTATAACAGGCGTTTTTCATTGAGATGATAATGTTCCAGCTATCAATCAACTAACAGATGGCAAAATCTGTATGACATAGGTAATCAAGAAAGTGGCAGTCTTTCTTGAGAACAAAAAAATTTTGATTTACTGTTCAGCAGAAATTTTTGATGTGGCAGTTACAGGATTTAAACAATGTAACTTTGTAATTGAAAAAAAAATCTGTTTATGTTTAGAGAAAGTATTAGAACAAGAAATGAAGCAGCTTAAAGAACTTGGATTGAAAAAAATGTTTAATGAAGCAAACAAATAAGTATTAAGCCTTTTTTTTATAAATTTTTATCCCTCTAGTGTCAAGAATGCTTTATTATTTCATAAGCAACCATTTCACATGTTTAATTTATAATTTCTACAGGTCTTCTTACTAGGTTTAAACTGATGATATAAAATGCAGAAAATTCTGAGAACTAGAACTGATGAAGTCTGGATCTTGGACTTTGTACTGTATTTACATACAATTATTAGATTATGATCGTAAAGTAATAAAATTGCTTGTGAATATTATCGACACAATTTTAGTTTTTGAAAACATAAATTACTTATCTCAAAATATTTTATAAGAAACATAAATACGGCAGATTGTGTGGAACTCAGCATATAGTATCCAATATCCAAGTCCTAGTTATGAAGGCCATCTTCATACTTTTCAATAATCTTTTTTTACCTCCATGGTGGTCCAAACGATATTCTTCTTTGCTTGGCTCCACTCATTAACTTTCATAAAATGCATTGTTAATGAATTTATTGAAAATTAATGCAAATAAAACATAAATTTAGATATAATAGTGAGGGCTTTTTCTTGAATAATAGCAACAGGTGTACTGATGCTCATGGGCAGTAATTGAGAGGTAAACAAGTGTAGTGTGCACAGTCATCACTTATCAAACTCAAGTTGTATTCCAAGTGAATATTGTGTCCCTAACACATTTTGTTGTCCAAATACAATGTATACCAAGTTGGGCAGAATTCTAGGGAACAGGCTGGCCATTCCATTGCTTTCCTGAGCTGACATAGGTAAAATTCTTACTCAGCCACATCTTTCAGTCTATTAGAGTGCAAAATTCTCTAATATGTGTGTTCCTAAATACATTAGTCTTAAACTCATTGATGATGCACATTAATCCATGGTTGGGGTTATTGCAGTTGGGTTTCTTCATTTTATTGTCATATTTCTTTAATGTGATACAATTACTTTTCTCTGTGTATTAAAATTTTATTTTTTATGTTATCCACACATGGAAAATTTATGCTATTATTTGAACTATTTAATAGGTATTTATATATATGCATGAGAAAAAATTTAACACATTGACTGCCACAGCACTTTCGGATTCTGGTCCGAGAAGCCAAATTGATTTAGTCGTATTATGTTATTAAAAATACTAATTATGATTTGTAACAATCATTAAAAATTTTACAGGATTTTTTTTTTCTTTTGGTAAGAAAAAGTGTCCTACGAATTATCTCGTAGTCGGCTTTTGTTAGACAAAGCTCTTCACAGAAGCCCACTACAAGTTGATTTGCACAGACATGCTTCAACTTGTTGCCTCGGTACAGCTAAAACAAGTGCTATGCGAGTAAGTAACTTGTAGCGGCGAAAGAGTGGGAAGTCAAGAAACTACGGATAACTCATATTGAGTGTCCTGAAGAAGAGCTCTAATATGAGTTATCTTGTGTTGGGAAGTAACGTGTTAAATGATACTCAAATCTACTAACTTTTATCAAGCCCAGTATACTGCTTCTTTTATTTCTTCTTTTACTTATTTGAATAAAATGATTATTTTATTGTAGACAAACATTTTTAATGAATGCATAGATAAACTGGTCCAAAATGCACCCGTTTAACACATTTGTACAGTTTTTCTGTGTGAAGAAAAAAAAACAGCAGCAAACAATAAGCTTACCGAAAAAGAAATGCAGCATCCAGGATGAAAATCCAGCTCAGAATGGTTTAATTTTGGTTCAGGTTTATATCCCTTTCACTGGGAAAATTATAATTGTCTCAAGCATTATAAGGCTCACCAGCGGCCAAGCGGTAAAGTCGCTGAACACTGCTAGTTCGTTTCGAGGTTCGAATCCCGCAAAAGGGCTGGCTACATGGGAGTTTTCGTGTTTTTCCCCATGTGTAACGTGTATACGAGCCAGTTTCCCTTAGAAAGTCCTCCATGAAGGCATCCCTTCACTTAGGCAGATAGCCCTCGAGACTTTGCCATAATCACACACACTGAAGCATTATGTAAATGCATGCATTATTATATAAGAATTATGCAAGAAAGATAATTTAAAAATGACCCAGTTTAGAATGATTTATTAGAAGCAGTTATTATTTTTGGGATGCAAATGGGCAATAACCAAATTTAAAAGGAAAGTTAAGGGGCTGTTGCAAATTAAAATTAGGGTTTTATTTTGTGTATGTTGTAATCTTCCAAATCTCCCATTTCAAAAAGAAAAAATCTTAGTCACAAAATAATAATAATAATAAATAAATAAAAAATAATAGGAAAGAACGTTTAGAGGAAAAAGATGTTAGAAAATGAAGAGAAAGTTACCAATGGGAAAAATATAAAATTTTTAATTAAATTATAATTTTGGAATTCTGGAATTTAAATTCTGACCATTGCATTTTTAAATCTAAGCACAATTTTTAGAATCATTGAAATTTTAGTATTCAGACCAGTTTGAAAAATTCAAATGAATGTTAGGATTCTTTGGGGAAGGTCTTTTAAAAGTTTTTCTCTTTCATCACAAAATATCAAAAACTTTGCATGTCAGCTTATTTCAGTACATGCCAACAAATCATAAATATGCTTAACATTCTAAGTGCCATATTTATATAACATTGTAAGTATTCATCATTTTTTTATATATCACTTTCATTTCAGTTTCTGTTTTTATGTAAACACAATTCTCACACACAATTCTCTCAAAATTTTATTTATTATTTTAATAAAAAATTTAGGGCATATCATTTTTAGTTGATTGTTGCGTTATTTTACCTGTGTTTGAAGTCTGCTCAAGCAGTTACTGAGAAAGGTCTTCATTTCTTGCACATGGTAGCAGGCTTCATTAAAGTGCACTAATAGTACTAAAAAAATATGTTCTTAAAAATTCTAGCCTTCACCTTTTTGTATATGAGAAGGGTTAAAGGAATATTTATTCAGGGATGAAAATACTCCTCTAATTCTAAATCTACTACTCTCTTTGGCATACTCTATTCTTTACATTCAGTTAATGACCGTACTTTCAAATTACATTTATTATCATTTCACTATCTTCATTATTCATATTCATAACTATTAATATAACAATATTCTAAATTTTTAATATTTATGTATAAAACAATTTGTATATAGTTTTCTTTGCTAGCAGTATAAATTATTTCATTGTTATTTGTTTCATATTTATAGTCCTCGAAATAATTCAGAACTGAAACTATAATTAAAGTTTAATAAAAATGTTTGAAAATTAAAAATTGGTTACTGAATTTATTCATATTAGTATTTAAAATTAAATTTTTAGTACAATGAAGTTTAAATTTATAGTTTCCATAAATGGAGGAGTCAGCATAACATGTTAGAAGTTCCAATAGTAATAATTATTAGCAATTTTCTAATTGATGATTATATAAAACAGTTGAGTTGGAGTAATTAATTATTTCTATGAAAAATTTTAAACATGCATTATAAGTAAGAGTATAAGGTTAAACAAAGCAGCAAAATAAATGCAATACCATTAATAGAAAATATCGATGTTTTTTAACAATTTGTGTTTTGATTAGACAAAGCAGCAAAATAAATGCAGTATCATCAGTTGGAAATATCACAATTAGTATGTTATTTTAAAAAAAAATTTTTTTTTAGCCACAGTAGGTATCTTCCTCATGTAAGTAGCAAAAATTACTGCATTTGATTACTGTTACAAATGCTGTGTTCAATTCATCTAGATCATTAAAAGATAAAACTGCTTTTAATTCTTTCCATTTTTCATTATGTAGTAATTTCCTTCTTTTGTCGGTCATAATTTCTTATATTTTTGTATTTTTTACCCTCCAGGAAATTCTGATGTGTTTACTACTCTCATTGGAGCCAATGGAAAAGATGTGTTATATGTGGGTGATCATATTTATGGAGACATCTTAAAATCAAAGAAAACTCGTGGTTGGCGAACATTTTTGGTTGTTCCTGAACTTTCACGTGAAGTGCATGTGTGGACAAGTAAATGCCAACTTTTCAACAGATTACAAGATTTAGATGTTCAACTAGGTGATACCTACAAGTAAATAGTTTTATGTTGTTTTTCAAAATCTCAGTTGCATAAGTCCTTCCACTATATTTTATTGACTGGAAATTACCTTTTAAACCAAGTTTTTTTTGTTTACTTAATTATGTACTAATGCAAACATTTGTTCTATTTAAGTAATTTTTTTAATTTAGTGTGTGTTCTTTAGCCAAAAAAAAAAATTAATTTTTGAATTTTTCTTTAAACTGAGTATTTTTTTCAGTTCATGTGTTTAGTTTTTTTATAAAGAATGGTTTGCATGAGTGATTTCTGGGTCAATCATACATTTGTATATTTGTCCAGAAATTGTTTTATATATAATGAAAGATGCTGAAAATTAAATCACGAGAAACATTAGATGGTATTTCTATTATGTTATTAAAAAAATGTTACCATGATAAATTAATGCAGTTTTTTACATTAATAAAGGATTTCTATAGTTGAACTTGCCTGCATTTATTTTATGTTTCACTTTTTCATGAAGCCGGCATATTTTGAGCTTTCAGTGTGAAATAAAGTACAGTTTATCAGTACTTTCGTATCTACTATGTTCATGCATATTGACATAAACTGCAATCCATGTCTTGCTAAATGAAATTTTTTTCTGTTGTTGCCTTGAAGCAAAGAATGATGTCTTGTATGCTAAATATTCTGCACTTTCTTAAATATATAAGGCTGTATAAAAAGTTCAGACTAGATCTGTTGACAAAGAAATACATTAATTACAGAAGTTTGAATATGATCTCTTTAAAAAATAGTCTTTTTGTTCAAAAGGCACCAGTCCCAGCATTACTACCAGTGCTGAAATGGCACCTTAAGCAGGGTTCATAGCGGTCCTTATAAGTGCTTATAAGTCTTTATATTTGAAAATAAAATATAAAGGCCCTTATAGGTGCTTACTTTTTCTTTAAAGCCCTTATTTATTTGTTTTTAGTGCTTATTTTTTGCTTTTAGTGCTTTTTTTTTTCTTTTTTTTTTTAATGAATGCGCTATTTTTCCCCGTACCAAAGCCGAAACTAAATAAACAACTTTTCTTCCTAATATGGAATGTCAGATGGTGAGTCATACTCCCGGAAATAGCTTTTCCCCCTTTCTCTGCATTAACATAACCTTTGGTGTGCACAAAGAGTAGGCAGGCAGGTGCCCGTCGTTCTGTTGGTCAAAGAATTGCGAAAGCAGTAGAAAATCCCGCTATGTTCGGCATTCTTTTCCTCCCACCCAAATACTACACACGTTTGAATTTCTATCAAGATCTTAAAAAGATTTGCATTCTCGTTCTGCTTGGTCAGTTCATATTTGTGTTTATTATGATCGTTATGCTTATATTATGAGCATATGTATGAATGTTTATAATAACATAGTTGCAGTAACTTCTGAAGTATAGTAAACTTCCAAAAATGGTTATGTTTTAACACAGATTAGCTTTCTAAGGAATAATATTCGGAATGGCTTAACTAAAGGGAAAGTCAAAATAGTTTCATTTTTTTGGCCAATACATTATACTGTATGAAAGTTGGGAGGTCTCCTCTTTCTCCGCAAAATCTTGAATATTGAAACTGTTACAGTTCGCTGCAAAACAAGCAACGGACCTTTTTTGGGTGGGGGGGGTCACTTTCCAATCTGGATTGAATAGGACTAAAAGTTCTGCGGTCTACCAACCCAAGCGAAGAATGATTCTTTTCGGAAATTTAACGCCGTCTGTTGAAAAATTAGAATGAAAAAACACCCCAGTTATTTAGTTCTTTATTCTCCCAATACCAGCAGCTGTTGAATTCCAATTGCGTAATATCATGCAGGGAAGAATTACGGTGCACGTTTTGTGCAATAACATTTGCTATTGCAGAGATAATTAATTTTGATGTTCGTCCGAGATTTGTTTATGAGCACTTAAAAGAGTTTACTGTGCTTGCTAAGCGGAATATTTTTCTGTTCCGTTGGTTTGTTTTTATATGATGCACATATAGAAATGTCAAAAGCATATATTTAGTGGAAAAATCTAAAGAACGGCTACAGTCTATCCTTCCCCTCCGCTCCTCTTTTATAAGTTACGCTCGACTGTCCGAATATTCGCCAAAGTGCGCGGTTTCAAGTTATGCGGGTAGTTGAGCTTTTACTGTTAAAGATGACTGCATGAAGCAAATTTCTGTCTTGTGATTTCAGAAATGTTCCTTTTTTTTTACTTAAATTACTTTGCTTGCAATATCTGTTAAGAGAAAACTGATATACAATGAAAAGTTAGAAAATGTTCAGAATTTATTTAAATTATTTAAATATCAATATGAGTGGAAAAATAAATTGTATTTATTATTAGGTTCCAAGCGAATACAATAAATATGCCTTGTTATTATTTATTTTCTCTATTTTGAACTGAAATTTTATTAAATCGTGTAATATAGTTTAGTTCTTCATAGTTTTTTTTTTTCCTCTCATTGTAAACTAATTCTGTAAATTGAACTATTATTTAAAATTAAAAACAAAACAAAAAAAAAGTAATTATTTTCCATGGTTGAGGTAATGCTTATTCTCTCTTAATAAGTACTTCATTTCTCATATTTTAAATTACAAGTCTAATTTTTAAGGTTATGCAGTTGTGTATGATGTAATTAGGCAGGTGCTTATTTTTTTTCTTAAAATGTGCTTGAAAAGTGTTTTAAGGTGCTTATTTTTTTAACTAAAATGTGGCTATGAACCCTGTTAAGTCATTTTACATATATTACCTTTTGCGATTTGTGCCAGGTCTTATCACCATGGGGAAAAGACAACCTTTAACCTACATCTTCATTTCTGAGAAAAGGAAGAGTCAGGGTTCGTAGCGGTCCTTACAAGCGCTTATAAGTCTTTATATTTGAAAATAAATTATAAAAGCCCTTGTAGGTGCTTACTTTTTCTCTAAAGCACTTATTTTTTGTTTTTAGTTCCCCCGCATCTAGGCTGCAACTAAATGAACAACTTTTTCTTTCTTATCTGGAGCATCAGATTGTGAATCATACTTCCGGAAATAGCTTTCTCCACATTAACGTAACCTTTAACCTTTGATTCATGTGAGTAGAGACAAGTGCACGTCGTTCTATTAGTCAAAGAGTTGTGAAACGAGTAGAAAATTCCGGTATATTTCACATACTTTTCCTCCAACCCACAGACTATAGTCGTTCCAAATCCCACGTGGTCAGTTCATGTTCGCATTTATTACGATGATCATTATGCTTATATCATTAGCATACGTACGAATATTTATGTTTGCAGTAAATGCTGAAGTATAGCTAATCTTTAAAATGGGTGTGTTTTTAACACAGATTGGCTTTCTAAGGAAGAATATTCTGAATGGTTTAAACAAAGGGAAAATAATCGCAAGGCCATGTGTTCCTTGTGTAAAACTGAAATCAACATAGCAAGTATGAGAGAATCTGCTTGAAAGTGTCACATGGATCGTAAGTAAACCAAAGTATATGGTGCAAAACAGCACAAAAGCATACGGGAAAATGAAAAGTATATTGGTGCATTTTTCTCAAAAAGGTCATATTACAGAAGAAGAATGCACTAACATTCTTTTGGAATATTCAGATTTCATCAAAAATGTTGTCCAGCCATACCTTACAGAATTTAAAACCTATGATGTGAGAAAAATGAGATTAGATCCTTTTTTGCAAATTCGTAATGGAAATACTTAGATATGGGAAACTTTAAAATGATCTTATTCTTTCCCATGGCCGCCTCTGTTGAATGAGGTTTAGTATCAATAAAATGTGGAAACAAAAATCGGGGGGGGGGGATTTGGTACATTGCCTAGTGGTAATTTTGATTAGTGAAAATGCTGGTGGATACCATGTGTCAATACGAAAGAGAAAGAGCAGCAGCTTCATCAGCTCATTCACAGTATCAGTTTATGGAGAGCAGAAGAGAAAAAAAAAGAAAAGCAGCCGAATCCAACAGATGAATTGATTTCTTTTAAAGAAAGAAACCTCTCTTAGAAAGAGAGTCAAGTGTTGAAATAAGCAAATAAACTTGCTGAAAAGGCTGAAGTTACAAAAGACTTTGATCTTTAAGTAGACCAATGAAATGTTAAAAAACTATTGTGAAAAACAAACTGTCTTAAAAGATTGGGATTCAGACATAATGAAAGAAAAAGAAAAAAAAAATAACTTTTTAATAAGCATAAATATTAAATTAAAATTTAATAATAAGCATAAATCTTTTTTTGTTCTTTTTTATTGTCCGTATTTGTATGATCTAAAAATACAGTTTATTATTATTTTTCCTAAACGATATTTCGTCGTTAATCTTGTAATATATTTCGTTTCACATAGCGTTCTTCCCCGCTTCTCAACATAAACTAGTTCTATAAATTGAACTGTTATTTGCTATTAAAAAATAATTAATTGTTTCCCATGCTGATTCTCTCTTTAAATACTGAATTTCTCTGATTTTGAATTACGGTTAAATCTCATTTTTATTTTAAGGTTATGCAGTTGTGTATATATGTAATTAAACAGGTGCTTATTTTTTTTTCTTAAAATGTGCTTGAAAAGTGCTTATTTTTTTAACTAAAATGTGGCTACAAACCCGGAGAGTCGACCAGAGCTAAGTCCGACAAGTAGAGCAGATGTAGAGATGATAATACATTTGTGTGAAAGAATAATAGAATTTGCCAATTGTGTGTTTTTATGGAAAGTGTTAATTCTGCTGAAGAATTGTGCAAATATTCAGAGTCGAATACATAAGCATGCACATGAGTATCTGCAGAGCTGTGATTGTGGAGGGCGCAAAGGGATTTCAGCGATGTGAGTGCTTGTACTCCTTCACGATATTCACCATGTTTCTGGCAAGAGTTGGTTAAATTTTATTAGGTATAGGCTAAAATCAGTAGCCACAAACATATGAATGACGGAATGAGACTGAGAATTGTCGGTAGATTGGAGGCAAAACAATCATAAGTGAAGGTGACTCCAGAGTTCAGTGCCTTCAGGATGCTAGATCCATATCAAGAAGACTTGTACAAA